CCGCCTGTAGAATCCTGCATGCCCTAAAACTTCGTATGCCCTTTACAGTGGTGGGTGGAGGTAAATTCTCAATTACGTCCACTTTGGCTTTATCCACTTTGATGCCTTAGTGAGAAATTTTGTGTCCCAACACAATTCCTTCGGTCACCATAAAATGACATTTTTCACAGTTTAGCACAATGTTGGACTCCTCGTATCACTTCACCACTTTAGACAATGTCGAGACATCAATAAAATTCATCGCCCGAGATGAAGAAGTCATCCATAAATATTTCCATGAAGTCTTCCACCATATATGAGAAAATGACCATCATACACCTCTAAAAAGTTGTTGGAGCATTACATAGTCCAAACGACATTCTTCTAAAGGCATATGTATCATATGGGCAGGTGAATATGGTCTTCTCCTATTTTCAGGTGCTATGGCGATCTGATTGTATCCAGAATATCCATCAAGGAAACAATAAAATGTCATGCATGCTAACCTATCAAGTATTTGATCAATGAAAGGGAAGGGAAATGGTCTTTCTTTGTCGTTTTGTTGAGCTTTCTGTAATCCATGTATATCTGCCAGCCTGTGACGATTCTTGTAGTCAAAAGCTCATCATTCCCATTCTTAACCACGGTTACACCACCATTCTTTGGCATACACTGTACTAGACTGACCCATGAGCTATCGGATATGGGATAAATCACTCCAACATCCAGCCATTTTATGATTTCCTTCATCACCATTTCTTTATTATCGGGTTAAGTCTCTTTTGTGGTTCCACATAATTACTATGGCTATCTTCTAATTGGATCTTGTGCATGCATATTATAAGGTTAATTCCCTTTAAATCTGCCATGGTCCACTCGAGAGCTTTTCTGTGCTGTGAAAAAACATTCAACAAACTTCCCTCTTACTCAGGGGTTAGACTAGCAGAAATTATAACTGGTAAAGTTTCATCACTACCTAGATAAGCGTATTTCAAATGTGATAACAACGGCTTAAGTTCTAAGGTAGGTGCATGTTGTAGTGAAGGTTTTGGAGGAATAAATTCATTGAAATCAAGGGGTTTGAATCTCATACATGGTCTAGCTTGAATTAAACTAGAATTTTCTTCTTCCAATGAATTTTCCTCAACTCTGTACATGCTCTACTCTCAGTATGTCTTTCTTCTACTTCAATCGAAAAGTTTCACCTCAACAAATATTTTTGTATGTTTCATTCAGAAAAATTTTCCGTAGCAAAAGGTTTTATGTTCCTTAGATTGTAAAACATCGTCTTGGCCAAAAAGTTTTGCAGGATTCCTTCCGGAGAATTTTTTCTTGGCAAAATTTATCATACTCATCAAGATGTAAAAATTTGCCTTGACTAGAATTTTCTGTCCCAGCTTCCTCCAATGAGTAAACGTCTTCAATGTAATGTCATTCTTCATAATCATCAACGTATTTAAGAGTGTTGAAGACATTGATCATGACGCTTTGATCAGTCACCCTCGTCATGAACTCTCGATTCTCACAATCTATTAGAATACACCCTGCAGCTAAGAATGGACGTGCAAGGATAATAGAGGAATTTTCATCGATTCATAGTCTAAAATGACTTGTCAACTTTAATAATTACATCTTTAATTTTACCCTAAAGACGAACATGTGATCGATCAACTAGTTATAAGATCACAGTGGTTGGTCGAGCATTACCCATTCCAAGCTTCAAAAATATGGAATTGGGCATCAGATTTACACTTGATCCCAAGTCACAAAGATCTCTTCCAACATATCTATCACCGATGGAACATGGTATAACAAAGCTGCCAGGATCGTTTTGCTTCAGCGGAAGTTTACTAATTGTCTAACAATATTCTGTTGCCTTGGAAACAATTTCTATTCTTTCCACATTTCTCTTCTTCGTGACAATATCTTTCAGAAATTTGGCATAGGAAGCATCTATTCAATGGATTGAAGTAATGGAATATTGAAATGCAGCTGATCAAGGACATCAACAAATTTTCTGAACTGATTTTTTTCATTATGTTTCTTCAATCGCTGAGGAAAAGGTGGTTGAGGTCTAACTTCATCTGCTACAGGTGGAAAATAACTTTTGCCTATATATTTCACTATTAATGTGCTAACTTGTCGAACCCTAATTTCTTTCATTCTCTTTAGTTTGTTCTGCGTGTTCAGTAATCTCAGCTTGTTTTTCAGGTTCTTCGTGTGTGGTGCCTTGGCTAAAAGTTTCTGGTTGCTCTCCCAAAACTTATCCTCAAGATTAATATGAGTATCACTTCTCAATGTGAGAGCATTACATTGCTCATTTTCAAGAGGTGTAGTGACCTGAGTGTCGCTAGGGGGACTTCCTTATGGGCATGAATGTAATGACGTGGTAATTTGTCCCACTTGATTCTCCAATGCCCTCAACGATGAGCTATGGCTTTGTAATAGAGTTACTTGGATTTGTAACAGATTTCCTTGATTCTTGATTGTTGATGAGTGTTCATGTATCAAGGTCTTTGTTGAAGCCATGAAGTCTTTTGTTGAGGCCATAAACTCCTGTAATGAAGCTTCAAGAGCGTTATAATTTGAAAAAGATGCATTACTTTTATTGTTACCTTGCCATGGCACCTGTTGATGTTGCGAACTTGAGTGTTCAGAAACTTTTTGATTGTGGCATGTTAAAATAATTATTATTGTTATTCCCTTTATTATTCACAAAAATTTAAATTTGTCGCCATCCAGGATTGTATGTATTGGAATAGGGTTGTTGTTACTGCTTCTATTGAAGTTGCCCATGAAATTGATGGACTCTTGGTTTTCTAGGCATTCATTCTCATGATGGTTTCCTCGGCATAAAATGCATGCTGAGTTAGTTGCCTTGACTTCTTTCACCTCACTAGAACGTGCAAATTTTTTAGCATGTTAGTTATAGCAGAAAGTTGGGCAGAAACTGAATCCTTACTGTCAAGTTCATACGCCCCATATATTTTTCTGCCAGTTCCAAGCATTACAGACAAGAATTGATAGTCATTATTAGCTATCCGATCGAGGATATCAAAGGCTTTCTCAGGTGATTTGTCAAGCAAAGTGCCGTTTTCTGGCATATCTAACATCATACGAGTAGGTGCATTAACTCCATTATAAAACATCACGACTTGAGTCTAATCATGGAATCCCTGGTTAGTTTACTTGTGAAACAAGCTTTATATATGTTCTATCATTCATACATAGATTCATCATTACCTTGGCTAAAACTTTAAATTAATGTCATTACAGAGTTGGGTGTGCGTGTTGGGCGGGTTGTAGCGAAGTAAAAACTTTTCATAAGTCAACCCAAGATTCCATTGATCTAGAAGGGACTCCACTAAGCCAAGCTCTTGCTCAATCACGTAGAGAATAAGGGAAAAGTTTAAGCTCCAACATATCTTCTTGCACTCCTTGTTGCATTAACGAATCACACACTTCAAGTAAGGCACAGACGTGCTATCTAGCATCCTCATTAGGCGAGCCACGAAATTGACCGATTGAGTTTAGCATGTTAAACATCACCGGTTTAAGTTCAAAACGGGCTGCATTTTAGGTGCCACGATTCCAGGGTTGAGATCGTCAAGAATCGGATTTAAGTGATCTCGTATTGCTCGTGATCTTGCAGTATCTCTAGAAAATTATTTGTCGTGATTGGGGTCTGCCTGATCTCCCATATTATTGTCAGCTTGATATTGCAGTCGATTCATATAGTCTCTAGCACATTGGTTATGTCATCTTTGTCTGAAAGACTATTCAATCTCAGGTCGAATGGTTTACCAGTAGATCCAGGGTCATGCAACGACAAAAACCTTCAAAAGAAAATAAACAAGTTAAACTAAATAAATAAAATGTGACAAGAAATAAAAATTTGCTATGACAAAAATTATCAAAATTCCTTCAGTTGCCAATCTCCAGCAACGGCGCCAAAAACTTGATCACTTGTGAATGTATATGCTAAGGCAAGCAAATCTGTGCAAGTATACACAATCGATGCAAAAAATATAGTAGTAAGTAGAGTTATCGTCTCCTCATGGATTGGTGAGAATTATTGATGTTTTTCTATAGCTAGAGCTAGGTATCACAAACTAATCCAAAAATTCTTGTCGAAACAAAAACAAGTAATACCAAAAAAAAAAAAACCAATGGGAAAGTACTATCAGGTAAGAAATATTGTGAAGTATGGTGTGCAGAAAAGTTTAGTCGAGGCAAGGAAAAATTGTAAAAGCAACGAATCAAAATTATTAAAACAATTAAAAGTGTTGAGTTCAATATATTCAGAGAAACCTCAAACAACAGACTTCTTTAAGGAGCACTTAGGTTAGTTTTGCTAAGGCAAAAAGTTATTCTATGTCTAGAATGACTTAGTGTGCTATGCTTAAGTTACCCAAAAGGATTACTGGAGTATTCAAGAACTGTTGCTACAACAATACTACTCGGCGTGAACTACAACCCTTGGTTTGTCAAACTGTTGTTGAGACAATACCCCTCAGCGTAAACTACATTCGTTGCCTATCCTACTCAAGTAATTACCCCTTTTAGTTGAATGAAACCCTCTCCTTATCTCTAAGATGGATTAGAACCTCACCATCCCGTATCAGTCCCATTGTTCACGTAGATCTTCCCTAACTCTCTCGATATTAGGCATCCAATCCTAGAAAAATGACAATCTCTTGAAATCTCTTACAAAGTATAGGAATGTTTTGTCTAGGCACCAGACAATCTCTCAAAAGCTCTTACAGTGTCAAGGAAAAATATTAAAACAATGAACAAAACAATATTAAGCATAAACAAACTTCTTCATTCAATAACATCAAACAACGTTTCATCAAAACCATAACCAACACCAAGTATAGCAGTTCATGGTGCGACAAATATCATCCAAGAGTTAAATATTAAGTACAAGACCTTTAAGCGAATTAGAAATTAAGAAATTAGGAAGAAACACTCACAAACAGAGCTGTGTTGTGACATTCTGACCACCACACCTGCTCCAGCGGTCAGTCTCTCTCGAGGGCCTAGTCGCTGCTCTGGTGAAGTCCAGCTATGGAGGGCACCAAGGACGATCAAGTGGGGGAACGGTGGAAAATAAGGTGCTGCAGCCGCTTACTCCAAGCTTACGGTAAATCCTCTCCTTGCTTCTCAATCCTCCTGGCAGCTATAATGAGGTATTTATAATGAGAATTTGTAGGGTTTTGTGTCCTTGAAAATTCTCTAAATACCCTCGTTGACTTACCCATGTTATAAATGGAAAAGGGCTAGACGTGATCAATTTTCTTGAAGGGCGTGATTGCGCGTGAGGATGAAGCTGGGCAAATGACATCAGCAGTTGTTAAGCCACTCAGATCTGCAAGATAAATCTTGCCTAGGTAAGATAAATTTGTTCTTCACTGTCGTCTTCTTATGTTCCTCTAGCACTGGGAAATAATTTTTGTCTCGGAAATAAATTATTCCTTAGTTATTTCCTACATCAACACAATCAACAAAGAACCTTCCTCCTCAGCAGCATCAATTAAGCCAAATAAATCTTGTCTAGACAAAACTTATCCACCGCATGCAAATATGACCTAAAGGCAACTAATGCAACTAAAATGCTATGACAACGACTTTTAGGCACACAATAACTTGAGTAGAAAGACAAAAACAATCTTTTTACAGAATTATCAGAAACCATTCAACAAAGATTTAGGCTCCGCAGATGAATTGAGTTCTCAGATTGGTGAGTTGTTTAACGAACCACAAATTTACCACATCGATCACTACTTGGGAAAGGAATTGGTCCAGAACCTGGTAATCAATGTGTAAACAGTGCTTTGTATTTCTTGATTTCTTTATCATATCGGCTCAAATCTGGCTTTATGGTACTCGCAGTTGGTGCTTCGTCTTGCTAATCGCTTTTTCTTGCCCCTTTGGAATCGTGGCAACATTGATAATGTACAGGTGAGTATCCTTCTTTTGCAGATGTTTGGAAATCATAGAGTGCTACATGGTGTTGATTAGTTTATGATTTATGTCGATGTTTATCGTTGTTGGACTGGCTGAACTTTGTCAATTGTGATGTTATGATTATTCTTCTCATATTAATCTCTACTTTCTTCATTTCTTCTGGCAGATTGTATTCAGAGAGGATTTCGGAACCGAAGGTCGTGGTGGATATTTTGATGAATATGGATAAGTTCCGGGCACTTATTTCAGATCCTTATTCTATAGGAGAACTTATGAAGAATCACCTTGTATGTGATTTGTATGTTGAATATTCGCTTCTTAGTTCTTTTTCCTTTTGTGCAGCATTATCCGCGATATTATCCAAAATCACCTGTTACAGGTAATTGCTATAAACCGAAACAAAAACAAGCTGTAGGAAGAACATGGTATGTACCATTAGCCTACTCGAGTTATTTATCGAGTTCATACCAAATGCAGGTTCTTTGTCTTGTTGCCATGGAGAAGCCTGTCTCTCTCAAACCTGAGCACATTCGAATGAAAAAGTGAAGGTGCACGTCTTTTCACTCCACACTTTAGAAGTGACTGCTAGTTGTTTCTGTGCCCGCTAAACAGACCCCGTTAAGCAGACCGATTAAGTTTTGATCCATTTTGTAGTACATGGTTGATGCAATACTCCCTTATAATTTCTTATTTTCCTTTTACTATATGCTGATTACTATATGAAATCTAGGTTCTTCAATCGGTACTTCCAATTAAAGATGAAGAGGTTGTACTCGGACAGTATGAAGGTTACAGATATGATCCGACAAATCCCGATCACTCGAATACTCCAACGTTTGCAACTGTTATTCTGCATATACATAATGAAAGATGGGAAGGTGTCCCATTTATACCAAAGGCCGGGAAAGCATTGAATTCGAGAAAGGCAGAGATAAGTGTTCAGTTTAAGGATGTTCCGGTGATATATTCAAATGTATGAATATAACTTTAAGATTCTTTATAATTTTGCTTATACAATTACTTGGTTCTTCGATTAAATCGTGAGGAAATGCGGTAATATTTTCTATAGCTAAAAAGCAAGGGAGAAATGAGTTTGTCATACGCCTGCAACCTTCCGAAGCCATGTATATGAAGCTAACGGTGAGTTTGTCGTGCCATCTAAAATCTTTTAGAACTAGAATAACAATGACCGAGGATCTTCGTGCTGGTGGTTTCGGATGTTTCGTTTATGTTTATAAATTTTCAGTTGGACAAAACTGCATATATGTTTGTTTGCTGGAATTATGAGATCTTTGTGCTTGTATATTGACTTGCAATTCCTCTACTCTATCAAGGTGTTACGATCCCGGAGGCTTATCAACGTCTTATTCTCGACACGTATGATCTTTTCACTTGCTCCAATCCTTGAAATGTTATTGTCTGCAATGCATACTCTTAACGCTAGTAGGTCCGGTAATGCGGATCAGAACTATGATAGCTAGTTTCGCTTTTTGGTTTGTAATGAACAACTCGATCTTCTTTTGGTTACCTAGGATAAGAGGTGATCAGCAGCATTTTGTTCATAGAGACGAGTTGAAGGTAAGAATTGGTATTTACTCGAGAAGACGTTAACTCATAGGGGATTCGAACTAATGTTCGTGTTGCTTCATACATCAGGCGGCATGGGAGATTTTCACGCCTCTTCTACATAGAATTGACAATGGTGAAATGAAGCCAATTCCGTACCGACCAGGTAGCCGTGGACCGGAAGAAGCAGACGAGCTTTTGGCTAAAGCCAGTTACATTCAAACACATGGATATATCTGGGTTCCTCCCATCTTGTAGAATCTTGCGGCATTCCATCATGGTCGCCATATAAGTCGAGGTTTCGTCAAAGGCCTGCTTGTAACACATCGAACAACCTGGCCTGCCGGTTATAGCAAGTTAAGGTAATTCTAAGAGCTTGTATTTGGAATGTTTGTTAAGGTTTTGATTTCGGTTTCGGTTTTTTACGTTCAGCATAAAATCGGGTTAGTTTGATCATTGAATAAATAATTGAGAATTATCTTTGAATAGATACTATCTTGTATTTTCTCTGATTAATAAAAAAAAGTCGAATAAAGTCTAATGTTTTCGAGTATGATTGATTAAATGAGTCTTTATATAAATTATTTTAGAAAAGTTTGACCTTTATTTGAATAAATTCAAAAAAGTTATGTACTTATTTGACCGTATTGAAAAGTTATACCTTTATTTAAACATATATGAAAATATTAAATCTTTACCAATTTATAGGATTCATCTTTATCCAATGAAAAATAAAATTTTCAAATAATTTAATGTGAGAACAAATTTAAAATTATTTAATACAATTAGATATTAATTTATTGATATTTAAATTTATGTAAAATAAAAAAATCGTTAAAATAAATGAATAGTATTAATAAAAAAAAATTAATTTGTTAAAAATTAAATTTAAATGACATCATTTTGTTGATGTTTATTTTGTTCGGAGATTTCATTCGAGTTTTTTATTTGTATAATTATTATTAGTTTTGCTTATATAGGGGTTAGTTATTAATTATTATTACCATTAGTATTAACTATATGTTATTAGTTATAATTTTCAATCAAGTAGGAATTATGAAGTATCATACTATTGTTAGTTATATTTCTTATTTTGCATGTGTGTCTATATATTTATATATTAATTATCGTCATTAGTTAGTACGTTGTTAGCTATGATTATATATATATAATGTTATTAACATGGGAAAATTATTAGTTACTTTTTATTATTGGTTATTTATAGGTTATACTATTATCGGGGTGTATGTCCACATATTATATATCTATATATATTATATTATAGTGAGAATGCAAATAAATAAATAAATAATGTTATATATATATATATATTTATTTAACTTATATCACATATGTTTTTACAGGCCACAATTGAAAGCTTAAATTAATTACAAAGAACCCCAATCATTGGAGCCAAAAATACAGCAACCCAGTGATGAAAGGCCCCAGAAGCGGTCCAGAGGATGAGACCCCTTTAGGGTTTGTTTGCCCAAATGTGAAGTTGTCGCCGTCAATGTGTTACAACCGTTGGATCCAATTAGCGATCCAACGGTCCAGATTCAACCTAGCAAGGCATCAAACCATTCAGATTCGCGCGTGCATCAAGCCTTACGCACCCGTGATCTGACCCTTGTTGCTGTCCTCTGTTGTACCCGAGCGTCTGTACGATCCTGGCAGACTCCTCTGTCGCGACAACGCCAGACTGTCGAAGGGAGAGGCAGAATTCCCCTTCCATGTCCTCGCTTCGAATGCGTGCAAACAAACAAAATGTAAAAATAAAATAGATTAGAGGAAAATAAAAAACACATATATGAGGAAGAATCATCAGCAAAAAATAGTGAGGGGAGGACAAGAGCAAAAAAAGAAAAAGAAAAGAGGAAAAACACATAAGGAAAAGAATGAGTTATTTTCCCTTCAGCAATAGAAAAATAAAAGGGGTCCCTTTCTTAGGAGAGAGCAGCCAAATCCAAGGAGAGAAAAAAACCCATAAAAAGGAGATACATCACCTTCCTCGTCGGAAAGGCATCGCCGTCGTCCTTTGGTGTCAAAACTTCACCGATTCGTCAAAGGTAATAGTTGCATATGTCATTTTCTGGGGTTTGAAGGGGTTGGTTCTTTGGGGTTTTGGTTACTTTCAGGGTTTGGGTTCAAGGGTAGCCGTTCGGTGGCCTTTTAGCCCTTCATCGGGGATCTTAAGCTACGGAGCCATGGTGGCTATCTTGGACAAAAGAGGAAAGTGAGAGGGTTTGAGAAAAGGAAGAAATGGCGTGGGAAATGACTGATTAGAAAATGATGATTGGGGTTATCATTTTAGCCTAAGTAATGCTTTAAGTGGGTCCATGAAACGACGACGTTTTGGGTAAAGAGACCCGTTTCAACGCTTGGGGTGGGATATTTACTGTGTACACCATGTTGGTTTTTGCTTTATTCCATTTTGGTCCTATTTTATGATTTTTGAATTTCTGATTTCATCTTCCTGTTTACGCGCCTTATATTTTCATCCCTGTGCTGAGTTATTTCAGATTTTCACCTGTTCTTTGTATTTGACATGTAATTTGTTAATTTGTATTTTAGTCCCCTGCATGTTGATTGTTTTATCCCGATTTGACCATCATTCTTTTTTTTTTCTTTTTGATCCAAAGTGCATTATTTTTCTCTACTTTGTGTGCCTATCCATCTATAGGATTTTACCTTTGTAAGTCAAGCAATTTGTTTTGAAATCCTTTTGTTGTTAATGATTCATTCGAATTTAGAATGTTGTTGGGTTATGGCTTATTCCTCTCCTTTGATGTTTATAGGTAATTTAATATGCTTATAAATGCAAATAAATATATGTTGCGCACATTATCTATTTCATGTTTACCGAGCATTGTTCATGTACATCAAGTTATGATATATATATATATATATATATATATATATATATATATATATATATATATTTCATGAATGCGTTATATATATATATATATATATATATATATATATATATATATTTCATGAATGCGTGTTATATATGTGTGTGATGTATAATATATATATACATGTATTGGCATGTAAATAGTTATTTTGCATCTCATGAATACATATGTAACGTATAATTATATATGTGTATGCCATATGAGTATATTTCATAATAGGTAATAGTCATTCGTACATAATGTGTTTATGTCCTTTAATTACATTGACCGATTTAATGTGTGTAAAGTCATGTGATTTTTTTTGGATAAGTCAGAATTTTATTATCCAAATAGCAAAACGCTACAAAATACAATCAGGGATCATTTACAAAGCAATTACATACAAAAATCAATGATCATCTATACCCCATTGATTAGAGAGAGTAATATTCACATTTTCTACTCTATTGAATTTCCTACCCTTGAGTTGAAGACATACAATAAATTTAATGTCCTTTAGCAAATCATTAACTGACCTTGAACGACCTTGGAACAATCGTTTGTTCCTTTCTTCCCAAAGCAAGTAAACCAATGCGTTCAAAGTGATCTTCATTACAATAGATAAGATTGATTTTCCTTTCCAATTTGAGCTCGCCTTAGCCAGAAAACGTCCCATAAACAGGCTGTAAATTACAGACCAGACAAGGAGAATTTTCTCCCATAGAGAAGCAGCAGTAGGGAATAATAAGAAAAGATGATCTCTTGTTTCAGATCAGAGTTACATAAAACGCATGAGCATTCATTAATAAGCCCTATTCGATGGAGTCATTCCTTGGTAGGGAGTTTGTCAAGTAGGGTCATCCAGGTTATCATACTATGCTTTGGGATATGAAGGGGAAACCATACGAGCTTCTGCCATGGAACCTTATGTCTTTTTTCCCGGATGGAATCCCATATAGTGCTTGCTTTGTTAGCACCCGACGGAAGGATATTATGCACCTTTGTTCTAAATTTCAGAAGTCGTCTAAGACACCAGCTAGTATTGAGTTTAACTTCAACTGTCCAAAAATTTTTGTCCTTGAAAACGTAATTATAAAGACATGATACCCATAGAGAGCCTTCACCAGCAAGAATTTGTTTAATTAGAGAGAACATACAAGCTTTGTTCCATGTCTTGATGTCTTTGATACCTAGGCCTCCTTCAGATTTCAAGGTGCAGATTTTGTTCCAACTTACGCGAGCTCCTGTTGCTGCTTTATCAGTCCCTTTCCAAAAGAAGCGGGAACAGAGCTGTTCAATGTTTTTCAAGACTGAGTTTGGCAGAAAGATTTGTCTGCACCAAAAATTTGTAATTGAAGATAACACTGTTCGAATTAGCTCCAGCCTTCCTACATAGCTAAGCAATTTACTAGACTAGTGATACAATCTTGATTTAATATTGTCGATGAGAATCACTCAGTCTTTTTCAGAGATTTTCCTGGTGAGCAGTGGAATTCCTAGGTATCGTACTGGCAAAGAACCATGTTTAAAGCCAGTAGCTTGCTTAATAGTCTCGATATTTCCCGTAGACATTCCAGCTGCATAAAATTCACTTTTGGAGGCATTAATTTGAAGTCCTGACATCTCATAAAAATGATCCAAAACACTAGTAACACCAATAACTGAATCCGCTGAACTTTTGCAAAAAATAAGTAAATCATCCGCTGAACCATGTGAATTTATTTGATTGTTAAAACATAGATTTAATTGCATGTATCTTCAATTTCTAAATATTATATCCTCATGAGCATTACTTGACCATATCAAATAATTGGACTAAGGGTAATACCCTTTCATTTTAAAGTCGTCATGGGGTGGTTGTCTTAACGTATGAGAAAGCTACTTCCGACAATTTTAAAATGAAAGTGCAACCCGACAAGTGAAACCCTAAAATTTGACTGCACCTAAAATTTTGGAACGAGCGAAAAAGAAATGTTTGTTTATTTAAATTCCTCGAGAAAAGATTGTTAGAACTTATAAAAGGTCCGATCTCGACGTCTTTAAATAATCGAACATCATTATTCTTTTTAAAAGGATTGATAATTAATATTTAATTAACTTTTATTTTTATCATTATTCATGCATTCGGAATTTAAATTAATAATGAATTTTAGGATAAAATAGTAATATTTTTTTTATTTCGATTGTAGTGAGAATAAACTTCTTTAAGGCATGAGAGGTCTTTTCTTCTCGGTAGGAAATAATTAAATATTGTCATCTTTTGTCCTAAAATTCAAAGAATATTATTTGAAGGGATCTTAAATGAAATTAAATTTGAACTTGTAGATTTCTTTGCAAAGACAATTAATTAATCGACTAGGTATTGATTTAGGGCACTATGGGGCTGTTAATTCTTGCCCACGCGTAATCGACTCCCGAACTCAATTTTTGGATGCACAGACCTTAAAAACGTTGTTTTAATATTTTTTAAAAAT